GACGCGGGTCGATGGAAAACAAAGCCCACGGATTAATTCACCAATTTGTGAAATGTGCGGTGAGCACGAATAACGTAAAAAAGGATTGTGAGAGGAAAGTTTCATGCACGGAGGCTTAGAAAACCAACTCTGATACGAACGAAATATAGGGACCGGTTTACAAATAACAGATCGTTTAGAAGAAGATTGTGGATAACCAACAGATGAAAAAACAGTGATTATTTATTGAAGATACTGAGGACAATAGTAACAGTAAAAATAGCGTCAGCTAACCGAGCGGCAAGCCATCGGCCATCAGCTGCAGTGTTCGGTAGCTCGGTCACGTGAACTGTTGATATGTCAAGCGAAGTTCCATAATCTGACAATTATGCAGCTATAAGGTATCAGGTGCAAAGTGAAGTTCCACATGGTCGAAAACACATCTAGTTGATACGAACAGGTGCAGAAAATATAGAGATTCCTTCTCAACGTATATGATAGTATATCTCTCTTCTCGGGATATAAAAAACTATAATCCAAAAAAAATTTTCAAAAGAAAACAAAGACGTGGTGGAAGGGTTTCTTATATAAGCTTCGCGTACACGTAGGGCGAAACTCAATACAGTTCTTAATAATATTCACCTATCTCTCCCTCTCACTGTTTCGATGATTCGGACGTTTCGAATGGAGGATACAAGTTGTATTAATATGTGGAAACCATTATAACGCTTCTCAACGTATTTCGAGTCTTTGGGAATAAACGATTCGGCCGACTTGTGTGGTACAATACTAGAAATCATTAACAATCCGACAGAATCCATTCGAAAGCTCGAGGACTATGATGAGTTTTCGCAAACTTCTTGCGTGCCAATTGCTCAAAGCGAACATTCGTTTGAGCACATCTGTGAATATGGCTGGGTGTAGATTAACTCTAGACCAAGATGTGTTTCTCAGGCAATGGTGTCATAAATTTACTTGTGGACTTTCAGCTCCCGAACAAGTTCGTTTACACTTGAAGTCAACCAGAAGCTATCCTTTTTACTTTTGAATGTATTTTTTTGTAATATGGTGGTTCTGGAAACAAAAGTATTTTTTGAAAATAATTGGACTGAAAGTGACGTTTTTCGAACAGAACACAAGCTAATGAACAATAGGTGTTTTCAGGGATTCGTTTCCTCTTACTAATACATCTCAATTTATAAGAACTTGGGAAAAACGACGGCGGTGACAGTTCGTAAAGAAAAGAAATACACTTAAAACACAGGCAATATCTCCTGGTTCCGGTTTGGTATATAGTCCCGATGGGACGAGGATTGGGACAAACGACTGAAAACAGGGTGGGTGGAGAGACGTGAGATTCAATGACTTCGCAAGTTGCTTTTGTGCATACAAGAGTGGTGGTGGTAGTGAATACCAATTCTCACTTCATCCGCTCAGTGTTTTTCATGGACTTGATTCAGGAAACGAAGTCCCCTGGTCAAGTCCAATTTGACCCGAGTTACGCAAATTGTGATTTATTAGGCAAAGATGAATCACTGAAAACAAGTTACGTTCCGTATCTTATTTTCCATCATGATTTGTGTTAGTAGTCTAGTGGGACGATTCAAGGTGAATCGGTGAAGCATTGACCTTTACTCAACCACACCGCACTCGAAAGAGTAACGACAAAATCACAGATAAATGAGTAAAGATATTCAATAGATACCATCGCACCCGTGAAACACGGTGAAGAGTTCAATGTAATTCAGCATACTTTCACGAGCAAATCAGATTACCGGATAGTGTTAACTGGACATGAACGGATGCTACGGGAACTGCAAAACTGACAGTTATCGGGCGTGATTGCGAGTGCACAAACATGGTTTGAATTCGGGTCAATCAGTCAATCAATTAAACGGACAAAATATAAAGGCTAATTTGGATTTATTATTAGACACTTCTACAAGTAGCTCGTTTCCCCACTCAGAGGGGCTACACAGGTTATGCCTGCAGTCTTCATAGAGGAGAACGGGGGAATATTTCAATCTAAGCTATGTGAATCGCATTTATCATCTGCAACCAGATAGCCATTGTATATAAGACAGAATAAAATGTCTGCCATGTGTAAGGTCAAATCCCAGACGTAATTTTGTTTGTAAAAGGAACCATTCTTCTGTGGCAATGGTAGTAAACAATAACTTCTATTTAAACAGAAAGTTCTTCCAATTTCAGACTCTGACTGAACCAAAACTCACGACGGAGAATATTTACGGTTGAATAGAAGATCAGCAACATACAAGCGAACAGAGAGCTGTCACATAAGTGAAGTGGAGGATCAAGATATACCAGGGGTAAAATCATACGAATGTCTCTTTTTGATTCAGCTGAAATTGTTAGGAGATTTGACTGGTGTCAGAAAGTGGACTTGCGATACCGAATCGACAGATCACCAAATACAAAAAAAACCTTGGAAGCACTGCAAAATTGTTTCATTCGTATTAAGAATCATCAACAAGACGCATCTATCGGATTCACTGGGATTCGAACCCGATTGCGAGTCTTAATTCGACGCCCGAATCATTTCCGTTACCCGTGCTGACTCCGAAAAGCTTGCCACATGTCAGCATTGCTTGATGTAGCTCGTCTCTGTATGAGAAAGGAGTCAGACTAGGCGAGTGAACATGATTACGAACTGCTTTCTGCGATGGAGACTGGGTACCTGGTACCCAGCAATTAGGAAACCCACGGGATAGTAGATGATAAAAGCTTTCTACCAATTTCCGCAATATAAGGCGATGTCACGTTTTAACCGAAATGACTTTCTCATCAAACCTCAATCGGGGCGAGTAAATATGGTTCATTGAACGAGATGTACAACAGGGAACCGAGCAATTATACGACACACATTGCAAGCTAGTGTGTATGTACTGAAATTTAAGCTCGAAAAGCCACTCAATCAACTGTTCTATCGCGTGCGGTCTGCACACGATTGTGTGACAGACAAACAAACAAACAGACTGGGACCAACGGAACAACTCATGGTTATGCCAAATAGTACGCGCACCCGGAGGCTACTAATTTTGATTTACAAGATTTCCACGTTCATCCTCAGTTCGTTCAGCTAGCACTGTAGACCTGAGTTTCATTCTTGCTACAGCTCATCAGCAGTAAAAATCCACCGGCCCAACTGTTATTGTAACTTCAGACTTGTCGCGTGAGTCCAGAATGCCAATGGTTAAATGAACCTTTTCCATTTCCATACGCTCTACAAAACCATCATGTAATACCCGTCATCATGTAAACCCTGAAAAATTCGAATGAAGTTATTGAGACATTACATTCCTGATGTTCAAAGTGTAACAAAATCCATCCCTGTATGAAACTTCCTAACGCTGTGTGGATCAGACCACAGAGACAAAATTTCCTTCAAGGATTATAAAAGAAAGCCCAATATGTCGACGGGATTCTATAAATTAGGCACTCTTGATTAGTTGTTTGATTTAATCTCCCCTAAGATGGTACCAGGTGCCACACGTTATCATCTGTCAAAGATTATCTGAAAAGACACTTACAGTTCTGAACTGCGATGAGAGAACGATGCGTCAATCAAGCTAGAAGATGGTTCACCTGGTTGTATTCAGTATTATAGAATTAGCAACGCATCTTAGAAAGGACCCTATGGAACCCTTGACGATACTGCGTGCTGTCACACACACACACACAC